CGCTCAAGTCGGGCAACCACTGGTTCCTCGGCGTCTCAAAGGCGCCGCGCGAACCGTTCTCTCTGCGCGCGGCCGTTGCACCCGTTCGCAGGCCACTGCGAAGATCGCCTCAGCCTCGGCCGGCGCCCCCGGACGCAGGAGGGGGCCGACGCGTCGGCGATGGCGTGCTTCTACGCGGGCGTAATCTATGCGGTGTACCTCTTCTATTGCGGCGCAAAGGCGCGGCGGCGCCCACCCAATACAGCCCGCACTCACTGCCGCCGCTGCTATTCGCCTTCGAGCCGCTGCTGCCGATGACGCCGCGACCCGCCCTCGCCGCGACAGGTGATGTCATGGTCGGGGAAAAAGGGTGACGGCAGCGAGGAGCTGATGCATTCGGACGTCTAGTCTACATGCGTCCGTGTTGTTGTATGCGCTGTGCCCACCTCTTGGGCGCGGGCGTCTTTACGCGCCGCCGCCGCACCTCTGTCCGCCCGCGCGATGCGGGCTTGCGCGGGGCGGCTGCCTTCGCGCGCCGTGAGGAGGCAGGGATCGTCTCTATTTGTACGTTTCGTTTACCACGGGGCGGTGCCCGTGCCGCTGCCGGTCGGTGAGTCGGTGTCACTCTTCGAAAGTCAATCGAGTGTTAACGGGTCTAAGTGTGGCTTGTTCCCGGGCATTCACACTATGTTCGGGAGATAATTTGGCGATTATATCCATAAGGGATTTCATCCCTTCTTGGATTGGAGATTCGTGTTTTGGTTCCGGTTTTGGGTAAAACGTATACAGCGAACGCGATGCGGCCGCCTGGCTTCCTGCTTCTATGCGCGAGCTACGGCGTGACCGCTATCGTTCATGACTTCTCTACCGGGAAGAACGGCCTCGACTACTGCATCGCCGAGGCCGACACCACCAGCGACATGACAGCGTCGACCACCATGGCAGCTCCAACGTGTGCGCTACCATGGTGGACAAGTCTTGCACCCTACATGTCAGCCACCACCTGGGCGCCTGGCGTGTGCGAGCACAACCCCAATCGAGCCGAAGGATCTGAACAATGGGTCCAGTCGGTCTCGTCGAGCACGTTCGAGCCCGCCATTTGCATCGACAATTCATTTCTCAAAGTTTTGTCGATAAATTGGCAACTTGGGTCAGAACACCTTGAGGACATGTGTGCCTCGCCCCACACTACCTCCCAGGCGATGGAGCACGCGCTACAGTCGGCTCCTGAGGCCTCATCCACCTACTGCGGCCAATCTGAATTTTCGGCCCTCTGCAGCCCCGCGATACAGGGCGAGCCGCCAGACTCGAAGACGGCACCCCTAACCGCGTCCCCATCCTTAGCTTCTGTTCTTTCCTCCCCGTGAGCCGTCTCTGTCGCGAGACCGCCGAGTGTGTGCCCTCGTGAGTCCGTCGGGTACTTTTCGCGTATAAAAATCGGCTGCGCGGGCGTTCCATCTGGTGCTACCAACGGCCTGGCGGCCTCGGATCCGGCCTCGCAGCTCGACGCGAGCGCCAAGGTGGACCTGTCTCCGGCCTCTCGAGCCCCTCTCGGAGCCGTGAGAGGGTGCAGGCCGAAACCACAGCCGCTAACGTCCGTGTGGCCGAACGGGACCAAACTTTCGCCGCCGGATCCCGGGCCACGGGTAATGGCACCGGTCCCGCATTTTCCCCGAGTTTAACTCGACGCTCTTGTGCCCCGAACTTTCCTCCCCCCGTCCCGAGCACGACCAGAGCTGCTCCGGCGTGGTTTGGAGCGAGGTACGGGTGGCGGCGGGTTCGAGTTAAACTCGGGGAAAATGCGGGATCGGCGCCATTTCATAGGTGCTCCAACGCCCTAGCCGGCTCGGGAGCACTGTCCTGCCCGTTATATGCGCACCCGCTTACGCTTTTAGGTTCTCCGGCGGCCTCAGGAGCCTTGCCGAGGGCTGCTCCAGCGCGGTCACAGTGCCGTGGAGCCGGCCAGCGTGCTCGCAGCCATGCCGCTGGTGGACCATGCCCGCCTCCCGCCCGGCGGCGACAACCACAGCCCGCCTCAACGTCGGCGAAGCACCTCGGGCCCTTCGCGGCTGCGTTGTCTGTCCGGCTCCACGGGGCCTTTCCGAGACACTTCCGCGCGGGCCGAGGGACTCATCGGCCCCTCACATCCCGGAGGGACGGCGCACGCGCTGCCCAGTGACCGGGCGGGTCGGCCCCGATTAGGAGCGGCCCCAGCCGGGCGGAGAAGACCATCCCACTCGCGGTGCGTCGCACCGGCCGGTCCGGTTTTCGTCTCGAGCGGGTCGCGAGACGGCCGCGAGAGCGAGCACCGCGGTCACAGTGCCGTTGAGGCCACGGACGTCGCCGGAGCGGCACTCTCGGGGCGCCACCCCCTCACCCGGTCGGGGGGGGGCAACCACAGCCCGCCTCACCGTCCGTAAAGCTTCCGTGGTCCGCTGCTCCGGCTTCGATTTTCGACCCTCCCGAGGGTGCTAGAGCAGCCCCGCGGAGCCTCCCGGATGCACCAGCACACCGTCGTCCAGGACGACGGCGCAAGCGCTGCCCAGTGACCGGGCGGGTCGGCCCCGACTAGGGGCGGGCCCAGCCGCGCGGAGAAGGCCAGCGAGCTCGAAACACGTCGCCGCGGCCGGCCGTTTCGCAAGCCTGAGCGGGTCGCCAGACACCCGCGAGAGCCAGCAGCTAGAGCGCCGTCGTAGCCGCAGATCGAGTCGAGGAGCTTGATGTCCACGGTAGCAGTTGTGGAGAGCGGTGGCACGGTGCGTGTAGACGCGTCGATTGAGGGCTCCCTTTCGAAACGCGACGGGTACGGCATGACAACTGCCAGTACAGTTTTACGCCGGCGAGGGTGAGAGCACAACAGGGAGCCGGCGACCCGTACGCTTTACGCGTGGCGGCCGGTGGCTGTCTGGAGCTCGTGCGAGCTGGGCCGACGCGTGGCCGAGCCGAGAGGACCAGCGAGCGACCACGTTGGCGATGAAGCTTGGCGGCCGGCGCCTCGTCGCCAGACGTCACAGCGGCGTGGACGCAGGAGTGTGCGGCGACGAGTACCGGCAAATCCGGCCCGGTGTGGCCGGCAGCTGCATAGCGCTGGCCTGTGACCGGCGCCGCGGTGGCGGAAGAGGCGTCTCGCCGCCGTGGCGGCGGTCGGCAGGTGCGAGCGTGTCGGCCATCGAGCGAAAGCGAAAGGCAAGAACTAAAACTAACTATATTAAGAAAGAGAATCTTCTTCGGGGACACACGATTCCAGAAATGGTTGTGTCCCCGCTCCTCGCTCGCCCGGGCGGAGGGCATGGCCGCGGAGGAGGCGAGTACGCGCTGCCAGGCCTTCCGCAGACAGCCTCTTGGCCAGACTGAGGGTCGGCTTTGTGTGGCGTGGCCCGTGCGCTGCGCTGCGCAAAGCTGCGTGTACGGTTACTGGACCGTCACGTGTTCAACGACGTTGAACAGTGTTCAACCACGGCGCTGTTCACAGCGCGCGCGGACGGCCGTTCTGCGAGTCCAGCTCCGCTGGACTTTTGTAAAGCATGCTTGTGGCAAGTTATAGACGCTAGTATCGACCTCAGAGACCCAAACCCGAATTAATAATTAAGGCTCAAAGTATGGTTGAACAACCGTTGAACAAACAGGTTGAACAACGATATCCGACTAGTGCGACCGCTAGACGGCGGTCTCCGCCGGCCCCAAGGCTGCCCAGCCCCAGTACCACACCGGCCACGTAGACCGTAGCGCTGGAGTTGGTCAGTGAGGCACTAGACGGGCTACGGAACCATGCGCGCGCCGGCCGGACAGGCTGCGCGCAGGGGCCGCGCCGCCTCGATTTTGCACCTCCGCTCCGCGGCCGGCTGAGGGGCCAGCTCGCCCGGCGACAAGCCCAGCCATCGCCCAGCGCCCCGTATTGACGGAGGGCACGCAAAAAACCCGCACCTACGACTAGGGTGAGCCCGTGAAGGCGTCGGTGTCGGCCGCGGGCGGGCTGCGAGGAGGGCGCGGGGGGGAGCATGGGAGATGCTCCACCGCTCGACGAAGACGCGCCCGACGAAGCCCTGCTTGCGGAGGATGGTCGATCCTCACCTACTAGCGTCGGGCGTGTGCGAAAAAGAGCGCAAATCGGAGCTCAACTCGCGCGCGGCTGGGAAAGGGGTGTGGCACCCCTCCGAAGGCGCCTCGCGAGGAGCTGCTGCTGCCTCCAAACGCGCTCGGGCAGCACGTCGGCGCGCCTGCGGGGTTGGGGAGGTGAAACTATGCTTGCTGGCACGCGCATCCCGCACCACCCCCACGTCCGCGCGCACCATGCCGCCATCCCACCTCACAGCCAAGCGCCATCGCCGTCGGACGCGGCGACGCCGAGCGGTGGCCTCGCAGACGACGAGCGCGATGAGGCCGCCGCGCCGCCGGGGTGGCCGGCGCGTGCCAGCCGCTGGCCCGTCCAGCGTGGCGGGACCGGCTCGCCCATCCTGGCCCGCGCGCTTGCCGACGCGAGAAGATCGCGCGGGAGGGCAAATCTTGGGCAAAATGCCCTGTTTGCCAATCCTTCACGTCGACTTCACGTCGGAACAAGTCGGATCGACGACTCCCCGCCTGCACCAGCGTGTGCGCCTTGCAATTCTGTACAGAATCGACACGTGGTACGTCTTCTCAATCGCTCGTGGAGAGGAGCTACGGCCATTCCTAACCAGTAGTGTTCAACGACGTTGAACAATGTTCAACGTCGTTGAACACGGTCCAGTAACCGTGTACTGCGGGAGCATCCTGTGCTTCCTTTGGGAAGTGCGCACCTCCTGCAGCTGGTGGAAGGCCGTGCCGCCGCTCGCCTGCTCCGTGGACAGGGCGGGGAGGCGGCACCACAGCGCCGCAGCGTCCGCTGCGCGCCGGTGCAGCACTCTGCTGCCTGGTGGGCAGCATGCTGGTGCTGTGCGCGGTGTTTGCGAGGCGGCTTTGGCGCTGTGCTGCCAGCCGAGGCGAGTGGCGCGAGGCACGCGCGGCGCCGCGCGTGGCCCGGATGGCGCCAGAGAGCGCTCTCGATGAGCCAGCCGGCGCGGCGCGAGCGCCGTGCAAGCTGGCACATCGTCTGCATGCTGCCGTCAATTCTCTGGTCGACGGCGGTCAATCTCACGATTGTCGATCAAAACCGGCGGGCTTTGTGACGCCGTTTACGCAATCGTTTTTTGGCCTCGCTTTCTCTTTTGCTTGGTTTTATTTTGTTTTTTCGTTTGCGAAGCGACAGAGGGGGGGGCGGGCGGGCGCTAACTATGGGCAACTACACGTCGAAGGTTCGAGGACGACTACTCGCCGCCTGGGTCGTTTGGGGCGCGCGGCTCCGTCGAGGACCGGGCGCGCCCCTTAATCGCGTACAGCTCCGGTCGTGTCGAGCGGCGACGTCGGAAGTAGCGGCGGCGAAAGGCAGGGTCCACATTCGGTGCGAGATCTTTGCGGTAACTGCCGTTGCAGTAGCCCGAGAGCTGGTAGCGGAGGCAGCAGCTGCGATGGTGGTCCGTAGGCGAGGAGAACGGACCGGTAAGGAGAAGCAAGAGGGGATACTCGTGTCCACACAGCCGCAGTGCTGGCGGAGATGCGCTCTGTCGCAGAAGATCCGCAAGCACCCAAGTTGATGTTGCGGTTGTACTCATTCTGCTTAGCCTTCGAGCCAAGCAGTTGGCGGCCGCTGTGCCACCGTGCGCCGAGCCTCTGTGCCCAGCCAATCACCACGGCTCGCGCAGGTGCCCATGGTGCCAGCCAACGTATCGAGCGTAAGCCGGAAATGCTGTGCGGCAACACATCTCGCTTGTGTGCCGCACCAGCTCTCATGTCGGCCTCAGTGCCGCACTGCTCACTCCGTGCACTCACCGCCGGTCGGTACCATGTCAGGAGACGGAACACGGAGGAGCTGTATAGGTCACTAGAGACCCACACCATCGCTACATCACCACAGCCACCAAGTCGGATACAAGTCGATGACAATGTGCGCGGCAGGAGAAACCCAACAGGATGAATGACAATGTGCGCGGCAGGACAAACCAAACATGAGACACGGTTACACAAGGACGGTCAGGCACAGGCTACGGTCAGGAAGTAGGTTTGAGTTCACACTCTCCAACAGCCTCCACGCCTAGGCTAGGCATTCTCGCGGCTGGTTCACTCCCTAGCCACTTGCAGCGAACAAACTTTGTCAGAATGGCGTCGCGCAGCTGGCTGGCGAAGGCGTCGCGACGGCGGGTTCGGCATCGCGCCACCGGTCGCGCGAGCTCTCCGCGCGGCCCAAGCGTCTCTAACCGATGACAATGCGCGCTGCGAGTGCGCTGCATGATGCCGAGCAGGGCGTCTGGCCCTGCTCGACCCATCCTTCTGCTGCCTGGCGCCAGCGCTGCAATGAGGCGCGGCGAGAAGTGCGGATCGACAGGAAGCGTCGGTCCGAGGCTGCTCGGATATGATACCCGAGCAGCCTCGTACCGATGCAGCGTTCAGCCATCCGCGTCCCTCGATGCTTCACTGCTTGGAACCTGCTGCTCGTCGTTGTCTTGCATTGGAGCAGCAGGCCGCAAAGCATACGATAATCGGGTCGTGCGTTCGTCAGCTATCGCTGGAATCGTGTCTACTATATGCGTAGGCACCACGCCGGCCCGCAGGACCAGCTCCGCCGGGCCTACGTGGCTCCGGTCAACCCACCATCTCACCGCGCCGCAACGGACGCCTCGCGGTGCTCACAGGAGGCGCACGTTCCGATTTACCCAGCTCACCACAGAGTTTTTGGGAGGGTCAGCGACACTGTAATATTCCTATGAGCAGTTTTAATTTTACTGTGTACAGTCATTAGCAGCTTTAAGATTTGCCAGCGATTCATACATATCTCGGCCTAAATCTCGACGAGTTTTCGCATCAGTTTTGTTAATGACACAGCCACTTTTGGACAATGTTTTGTAACGTCCAACAAGATCGATGTCGATGACTGTTCAAACTGGTGCTCTCTACGCGGGGCGCTGATCGGAGCCATTGACACGATTCGAGCGGCGATGCTAAGCACGTTAGCCATGGCTGCGCTTGGGTTTCTCATAGACCGTGCAGTTGGGTGTGAATTCAATTCTTGATACGGTATTTTGCTCCTTGCCCAGTTGGATGCGCAGAAGCTCTGTGAGGTAAGTGAAACCTCCACCACCAATGACGACCATGCGTCTGGCTCGGGCAAGCAGCATGCGGGTGAGTAGGGCGCAGAATAGGGCATCGCTGTGACAATCGTCGAGCTCGACAAACTTGGCTGGAGATTGATTGGCCCAGACGGAGGCTTCGAGAGCGAAGAATGACTCGGGGACGTACTCCCTGACGGTCTGTGAGCCTCCAGGCGCAAGGTCACGGGCGAGGAACCAAGCACCTTCCCATTGTTTGACGCTATCCTTCAAACGCAGCATGAACTCCTGCGCGGCATGCTCAAGACAACCAGGCTCCACATTTCTGTTACGATAGAACAGCATCTCGGAGCGCATGTGCACAGCATCGTACATGTAAGTCGAGACTTGATGCAGCCGCTTCTGAATGAAGGAATCAGCTCGGGTGAACAAATGATGGCTGTAGCCGAGACAGTTGGTCTGGAACTTGTGAGTGGTGGCGGTGAACGACTCTTTCGAGCACATCCGCCCACCTACATCGCAATCTATTCCCATCCAATTGAGCACCGCGATACTTTCTTTCCCCACAAGAGCGGGATGGTGTTTCAAGATGCTAGAGAAGGACACGTTGCCTGCCACTGGTCGCGTAAGGTAGACACACAGTACTGGTGCGTCGGACCCCACCACCCATTCATGAATAAAGCTGGCGTCCATTCTCCACATGAATTCATCGCCACACGTCTGTGGCTGCTCGACACACCTCCGCCATATCTGAGGACATGGCATCGTTCCGTACTCGTCTGCGGGTCTAAACCAGTGGCGGTGTTGAGGCGCGTGCACGTAGATAACGACTGCATCCAAGCGGCCTTTACTGTTGGCAAGATAGTCGCTGACACGTTCCGTCTTCGCCCCATTGAGCGGGCACCTGGGCTCGTCAAACGAGGACACGTTTAAGTACTGGTCAATGTTCCTCACGCGACGACCGTTGTTGATGCCAGCAGCTGCGCCCTGGTAGATCGTCATATCGGTGGCCTGGTCGAACACGCTCGGCAACACAGCAACTCGCCCGACGACCTTGGCGAGGGACACGAACTGCATCAAGCTGGTCGTCGCTCCACTGAACTGCTCAATGATGTGAAGCACTATCAATCGCGCCATGAAGCCGAGCAGAGGAGCGCGATGCGAGAGAGGATAGCGAATGCAACAGGTACTTCCATGGAGAGAGGATACCGACTGCAAGCTCTTGCCTTCTTATGCCTGCGGCGCACCCTAGGGGTTGCGCTGTTCTAGCGCTGTTTTGCCGATTGTCAGAAACACCTCTCCGACGCGCTCGACTACTTCTCTCTCTCTCGACTATAGTCTAGGCCTGCTTCTCATCCGCCGCTGTATTGAGGGTCAAGAAAAGAGAGAATCGTCCCGCCGCCGCGACGAGGCCGCCCCCCTCCTCGAAAGGGACGGCTCGGGGCTAGGCCGGGAACACACACACACATAGCACATGGAGGCGCCGGGGTGGATGGTGGGGGCGCGAGAGATTCAGCGGCACTCCGAGAGAGCAGGGTCGAGGCTGCCGTTCCGGCGTGTTGCAACCCCTCGCGGTAAAACACCATCATGTCACCCTTCACGGGTGACAGCAAGCTCTTTACCGAGGGGTCAGAGCGGAGGGTACGCTCGCGCGGCGTGATTCCCGCCGTCTTTCGCTTCGGCTTTTTTTGCTACAACCTCCGTGGCTCGCCGTTGTGCTCGCTTATTGGACCCATTTCGACCACTGCGTCGTCGCTCCGCCGTGAACTGTATCGTCGTCGTCGTCTCTAGCCAGTCACTCAAACTCTCAGAGGTGGGCTAAAGAGGATCCGGAGCACGGTAAGGACTCTGGGGCTCTCTCCGAAGGAAGCGTAGCGTACGCGGAGGGAGCTCAGAGTTACCCCGTTCTCTGGAACCTCTTGGAGCAAGAGGAACTCGCAAGAGACGAATGCGATTCGATCGGGCGGTAGATGAGGGATGGTGGTGGGTCGCTCGAGAACTGACAGGTTGGCGCCTTCTGAGCAGGAGCCGACGCTACGTCAGTAGTCGGGAGCTGTGTCAGCAGCCTCGTGCTCGGAGGTCCCGCGCACAAAGCGGCGGGCAGCGGCGGGCGCGGGGTAAGGGTTCCCGCCCGCTAGGCGCTGCCCTCTGCGCCGAGGCTCGACCCCCTTCTCCTCAGTTCACTAGCACAAACTAAAGTTTGTTTATCATGAACTGTATCGTCGTCGTCGTCTCTAGCCAGTCACTCAAACTCTCAGAGGTGGGCTAAAGAGGATCCGGAGCGCGGTAAGGACTCTGGGGCTCTCTCCGAAGGGAGCGTAGCGTACGCGGAGGGAGCTCAGAGTTACCCCAAACCGGAGCGAGGGAAGGAGCGATCCCGCGGTGAGCGACACACGATGTCGATGAGAAACCAGGGAGGGGGTAGGTTGCGTTCGTTTGTCACTCGCCATGCGCGTCCCTTGGCTGAGTAGGCAAGGAGAGTTGGAGTATTTCACAGTATTTCCAGTATCCCAGTATCCGAGGTGCTGTGGCGCAGTATTCCAGTATACTGTCCCGTTTTGCTGTTCACAGCTAGGGACGGCCTCTGCGGCGAAAGTCAAACAACCCCACCTACCTACCTACCTACCTACCTCCCACAGGCAAACCTTCGGCTCCCGCTCAGAGGCTCGCCGCGCCCGTGCGGCGCGCCGAGGCGGCGCCGAGGCCGGCGCCTTGCACCCGGCCCGCGGCCGGCACCGCCTCGCCCCACAACTGACCGCCCTGCGGCCCCTGCGCAGGCGTACCACAGGCGTCGCTCAAAAAGCGACGCCGGGTGTGGGCTGCTCCCTTGACCCGTCACCCGCCGCGCCCTCGCCCGGCCGCCTCACCGCTCACGGAGCGTGCTCGCCGCCGCCGCCGCGCGTCCCGCGCCGCCACGCATGCCCCTTGCCCTGACGCGCGCTCTGTGCAGCGGCGCAGAGCGCGCGTCCCTGGCACAGACGGAGCAGCGGCCGCGCCAGCGGTCGCTGCTCCGCCCCCCCGTCGCGCGCGCCGCGCGCGCGCTGCCGCCGCCGCCGCCGTCGCCGCCCCCTCCTCGCCGTCTTCCCCACCCTACCCTCTGTTGCGCGCGCCGCGCAGCCGCGCTGCGCGCCCCCGCCCCCGCCCCCGCCCCCGCTCCCAAGCGCCCCTTCCCCGGTAGGTGTGCGTAGAAAGTAGAACCAATCGAGAGGTGGCAGAAGCCGCCGTGTGTGACACATATTGCGGCACGTGAGAGTGAGACAGAGCCCCGGC